CATGAAAAGCATGTGTGTGCCTGTCTGTTAGCGAAATATCTCATGAACTACTCCGCAAATTTGAACGAAACTTTCAGAAAAGAATCTTTTGATCCACATCTACAAATGATTACCTTTTGGGATCAAGGCTGCCACAGAAAATAAATTTTGTACCAAACACAAAAATGGCTACAACTCAGTTAGTTTTACAAACACAAAGCTCAATTTCATTCTGGTAGTAGCTGAGAGTTATTCCCAACACATACATTAAGCACTCACACATTGAGCATTTAAAAAAAAAAACTTTTAGCATCAATTCTCAGAGTGAACCATGTCTGACTGTTGGCAAAATATCTCATGACCGGTTCGACAGAATGTGATGAAATGCTCAGGAAAAAAATATTGGATGTACATCTACAATTGATTAATCTTTGAAGTCAATAGTAATAAACATTATATAGTCCAGTCAAGAGGAATTATATCAGGGGATTATTAATCTGTTTTAACAAACTGAATGAGATATTTCATTCATTACGGTAGTTCTGTGTTCCTTTCATYATGTTGACGGTAGAGGGCGCTGTTACATCAAACTAACTCATCGAAATCAGTTGCTAGTGTTTTCTCAATAGTTTATGTATATTTTATTTCTCTCATTTTTTTTCGAGACAGCACAACTAAAAACATTTTGTGCAAATGAAGTGGGTTTTATTGGTTATTTGCTATTTGCACCAATGTTCATTTATAGAAACGGGCCCTTTAAAGGTTTTGCACGCGCTGATCTCTGCGCATGCGCACAGAGCGTAATCACCATCCCTGCTAGAAAAAAAATACACAAACAACAATCACTACAGTACAGCGGCGATAGAAACAGAAAGATGTATCCGTGAAAGGAAAGCGCAACTCTGAAGTTATACCAGCCCAGCTGCTGCTACTCCAACCCGAGCTGTGCATGCCGATGGTGCCGAGCTCATGAACTTGGCCAGTCAGAGCGGGGATGCTGGCGGAAGCCAGCTCCTCTTCGCCAACTTTAACCAGGACAACACGTAAGGGCCGGGGACAGAGTCGGGGGATCTGCTGGCCTGTGCTGTGTGAGCTGTCAGGCTAGCTTCCGCTAGCTAGCACGTTAGCTAGCAGAGTCTGAGCTAACGGGGTCAGAAGTGTCGATGTGAATATCCTGGACGACGTTTCTCGTTGTAGAAATGAGCATCCATTGTTTGGCAGAYTGTTAAATAAATAATTCAGACAGAATTTATTTAACCAGAGATTAGCCTAGCATTTTTTTTAGCTAACGTGATGGTGTGTTGTCCTATCAGGGGCTAACTTCAGCCTCAACAAAATTACWCTCCGTGGTTGAGGTTACTTAATGAAACTTATTAATGTTCCCTCGCTGTTTGGCAGCTGGTTATGAAGTCGCTGTAATGATGYATAGGTAACATAATTGGGGTAAGTTAGGATCTGCTAACAGCTGCAGTGTAGACAGTGTTGTGAAACTCTTTAGCTTGTTCGCTTTTATCTGCCTTTTTCATACTAAAGATTAGGACTTTGTGGGCAGTTTTGACTATAGACTACACTGGTGTTGTGCAGTTAAGGACTCCTATATTTGAATCTAGGTTATTTTGATATATTTACATAGGGTGTGTTAATGTCAGGCTAGACTGCCATAATATGCACTCACTGGAAAATGTTTTGTTACAAAAAATACAGGTGCTGGTCATAAAATAAGAATTCATGAAAAGGTAGATTTATTTCAGTAATTCCYTTTAAAAAGTGAAACTTGTATATTATATTCATACATTACATACAAACTCATATATTTCAAATGTTTATTTCGTTTAATTTTGATGATTACAAATGACAACAAATGAAAATCTCAAATTTAGCATATCAGAAAATTAGAATATTACTGAAGACCAATAAAAACAAAGGATTTATAGAAATGTTGGCCAACTGAAAAGTATGAACATGAAAAGTATGAGCATGTACAGCACTCAGTATTTAGTTGGGGCTCCTTTGGCCTGTATTACTGCAGCAATGCGGCGTGGCATGGAGTCGATCAGTCTGTGGCACTGCTCAGGTGTTGTGATAGCCCAGGTTGCTCTAATAGTGGCTTTTAGCTCTTCTGAATTGTTGGGTCTGGTGTATTGCATCTTCTTCTTCACAATACCCCATAGATTTTCTATGGGGTTAAGGTCAGGAGAGTTTGCTGGCCAATTAAGAACAGGGATACCATGGTCCTTCAACCAGGTACTGGTAGCTTTGGCACTGTGTGCAGGTGCCAAGTCCTGTTGGAAAATGAAATCTGCATCTCCAAAAAGTTGGTCAGCAGCAGGAAGCATGAAGTGCTCTAAAACTTCCTGGTATGTGGCTGCGTTGACCCTGGACCTCAGAAAACACAATGGACCAACACCAGCAGATGACATGGCACCCCAAACCATCACTGACTGTGGAAACTTTACACTGGACTTCAAGCAACGTGGATGAAGTGCCTCTCTTCTTTTCCTCCAGACTCTGGGACCTTGATTTCCAAAGGAAATGCAAAATTTACTTTCATCAGAGAACATGACTTTGGACCACTCACCAGCAGTCCAGTCCTGTTTCTCTGTAGCCCAGGCAAGATGCTTCTGACGCTGTCTGTGGTTCAAGAGTGGCTTGACACAAGAAATGCGACAGCAGAAACCCATGTCTTTCAAACGTCTGTGTGTGGTGGTTCTTGAAGCACTCACTCCAGCTGCAGTCCACTCTTCGTGAATCTCCCCCACATTTTTGAATGGGTTTTGTTTCACAATCCTCTCCAGGGTGCGGTTATCTCTCTTGCTTGTACATTTTTTTCGACCACATCTTTTCCTTCCCTTTGCCTCTCTATTAATGTGCTTGGACACAGAGCTCTGTGAACAGCCAGCCTCTTTAGCGATGACCTTTTGTGTCTTGCCCTCTTTGTGCAAGGTGTCGATGGTCGTCTTTTGGACAACTGTCAAGTCAGCAGTCTTCCCCATGATTGTGTAGCCTATAGAACTAGACTGAAAGACCATTTAAAGGCCTTTGCAGGTGGTTTGAGTTAATTAGCTGATTAGAGTGTGGTACCAGGTGCCATCCATTTTGAACCTTTTCACAAGATTCTAATTTTCTGATATGCTGAATTTGAGATTTTCATTTGTTGTCATTTGTAATCATCAAAATTAAACGAAATAAACATTTGAAATATATGAGTTTGTATGTAATGTATGAATATAATATACAAGTTTCACTTTTTAAATGGAATTACTGAAATAAATCTACTTTTTCATGATAGTCTAATTTTATGACCAGCACCTGGAATAATAATAAATCTGAAAATAACAAACTTTGTTGAAATTGGTTGAGAAATAAGGAAGTTATGCTATTTTAAAGTCATGTTTCTCAGACAGACCCAATCAGTTCAATCAGATTCTGTGGCTTCAAAAACCGCCTTTAGGTCAACAGATTGTCAAGAATGGTACTCACAATATGAAAAAAAGTTTATAATAACTACCTACTTATAATGACTCGTATATGTCAGATGTAAGTGTTTTGACCCTTGGAGTCTGGGGGAAGAAAAGCATCACTTCACCTGTTCCAGTCATTGGGGATTGTTGCACACCTTCAGTGGTATGTTGGTAGTAAAGGTAAGGGATTGGTAACACTTTCTGGAGTCAGAAATAGAAGAAGATTTATATTCTAAGTGTACCACAGGAAAGCACCCCATATAAATATAATCCTATGAAATTATTGTGTAGATGGTTGTGTTCCTTGGAGTAATACAAGTATAATAAAACAAGTAGAAGAGTCTTGACACTTTTTGACGTTTAATTAATTGGTGGGTTCATTAAAGCTTCCCACAACAGCAGTGCTTTTTTCAGCATAACACTGGTGACACGGAGACAGCAGAGCTGAGTGAAATGTGTGTGACAGGCTGCTGCCTCTGTGAGAGGCAGAAATGACCCCAGAGTTCAGCTCTTGTGTGTCTGTAAAGCTGTGCTTATACCTGACCAGATGTAAGACATCCGATCTCGCTGCCACAGCTGTGTTCTTTTTCACATGCTCAAACATTTCTTTGACTGGTTCTTCTCACAGCCTCTGTCAGCTCATCCTCTCAGCAGAGTGGTTGTAGTTTACCCACTTCTCCATGTAAAGGCAATAGGGCAGTTCTGACCAATCACATGGTACTTGGAGCGTACGCTGCGAGATGATAGTTCTGACTGCGAGAAGAAAAATGTGCATCACACAAAAACACATCAGTGAGACAAAACTGCAGCACCGCTCACTGAGTGAACCAYGCTGAATGTGTGGCTGATGTTGGTGCTTCTTGCTCACAGCCAGCTTTGTTTCTGTTGTCTCTTTGTGCAGGTCCTTAGCTGTCGGCACCAAATCAGGATACAAGTTTTTCTCCTTGTCCTCAGTGGACAAATTGGAGCAGATTTATGAATGTAGTAAGTATTTTTCATGCTCTGTTGTTGTTTTTTTAAGTGATCTACGTGTGGGTGAAGAGAGTTCATTTAGTCCAGACCAGTACAGATAAAACACTTGTGTTTGTCMCTGTTATATGCCTACTCATTCTGTGTGATGGGTTTTAGACATAATGCAGTCACTTTGCCATGAGAGTTTAGATTGTAACTTAAATATTAATAACATCTGTCTGCACATTTCTCTGTAGCTTCAACCACCCTTCCTGTTATTTGATTAACGCACAATATGCTCTCTGCAACATCCATTTTATGTGTTTATCTATAGAGGGATAACGTATCTTTTCGATCATTTTATGTTTAAGAAAGTTTGTAAACTCCAGGTGCACAATGAGAGAAAAAGGGAATTCTATCATTTCAAATTTAAGAACAAATCTTTTACCAGAACCATTTTTGTTAACGCACACAGCTTGGAGTGTCTCCCACTAAAGTCAGCATCTCATTTGGTTGTAACACTGGGAGACTAGCTGCCAGTTCAAAACTGTGAGAGAAGAGTGAATTTGAGTCTCACTCCATGGCCGTCTGATGTTTGATGATCACAAGCTATTTTTAACTGTAAGAACTGCCCCAATGTTTATTATTATTATTATTATTATTATTATTATTATTATTATTATTATTATTATTATTATTATTATTATTATTATTGGTGTAGTTACACCTGAACATTTGGGGATGAACTGCCCAAAATTTTCCAAATAACTCAAAATCTCAAAACTGAAGGATTTTAAAGTGCCTGTGACATCACTTTTTTTGTAATAAATAAGAATGTATTTTTGGAAAGATAACATTGATAACATATTGTAAAAAAAAAGATTTCACGCCGCTGAGATGAACAGTTGTTGAGATATCTGCATGTGATGTGACAGGAAGTGATGTCAAAGGGGAATGCCTGAATGGAAACAGAGCAGTGCTGCAGTGGCTAACGACACAGACTGTAGAGAATAATCTGATGGTTCTTTAAATTATTTTAATCTCCATCATAGAGAGATGAGAGTCAGAGTTTAAATATTGTTGTTTCAATAAACAAAATCCAGGGAGTTTCCTTAAAGAGTTCCCTTTAGCTGAGCCGATTTCAAAAGAAGATATGCCAGTTATGTGACATAATGGTTAAAATCATGTGTATTATGCCAAGTTTCTTAAATATAAATGTATTTTCTTTGACTTTTGTATTTCATGGATATTCACGTCACACATGTTTAAGAGCACTTCTATTTAGCTTTTAAACTGAACATTTGTCTCCATCATTACAAGCAGGGTAAGTTGTGCTTCCTCTACAACAGGGGTGTCAAACTCCTGTCCTCGAGGGACGCTATCCTGCATGTTTTAGAGGTTTTCTTGCTCCAACACACCTGATTTTGATCGCTGGGTGATTAACAGGCTTCTGCCCAATTTGAAGAGTTAATTCAATCACTGAATCAGGTGTGTTGGAGCTGGAAAACCTCTAAAACATGCAGGATAGCGGCCCTCGAGGACTGGAGTTTGACACCCCTGCTCTACAAGCAGCCTGTGCTTCAGCTGGTAAATGGCTGCAGTAAAATGCTGCCCCTTAGTTTATTTCCACTTCTCCGGTGAAGTGAGGAGACAAGTCTCGAGTGGTGTCAGCCCGAGGCATACTAACCCCTCTGGGAACACMGGCAGGTGGAAGGTGGAACCTCAAGGAGGGAAACCTTGTGCAAAAAAAAKCCGAAAAAAGTTTTCTCTTGTTTCTCTTTCCACTCAGCCCATCGGTTTGTGTCACTTTCTTCTCAGCTTTTTGTCAGAAATGATATGAAACGGTGATACTTTGTGTTTGCAGCTGACACGGAGGATGTGTGTATCGTGGAGCGTCTGTTCTCCAGCAGCCTCGTGGCCATCGTGAGCCTGAAGGCGCCCAGGAAGCTCAAAGTCTGTCACTTCAAGAAAGGAACGGAGATCTGCAACTATTCCTATTCCAACACCATCCTGGCTGTGAAGCTCAACAGACAGGTTAGAAGACGGGACGCCCCTCCGTTAAAGTCTCATTTAAAGAAGAAGCAGCTCAGGTAAATACTGGTCCTCCAGCTCTGCTGATCCAGGTCATTGTGTTTCCCTGCAGAGGCTGATTGTGTGTCTGGAGGAGTCGCTTTACATTCACAACATCAGAGACATGAAAGTGCTGCACACTATCAGAGAGACCCCGCCCAACCCGTCAGGTCAGTTGGAGGTGTGCAGGTTACACCAGGAAGAAAAAAAGTCTGTAAATATAAAGTTTAACTAATAAAATGCTGGACTAAAAAAAACAGTTATCCTGTTTACTGAAGTGAATTTTGAGTGGTGTCTCTGTTTTCTGCTGCTGAGGTTGCAAAATATTAAACCCTTTCCTGCTTCATCTTTGTTTAAAACTCCACAACAGCAGAGTCCATTCCTGGTCCTCGAAGTCACGATCCTGCAGGTTTTCAAAGTTTAACAGGCTTCTGCAGAGTGTAAAGAGCAGGGAGAAATCTAAAACAGGCAGGATCGTTGCCCTCCAGGACCAGGATTGGACACCACTGTTCTAGCGTTAGAAGGCGACGGTTTGTTTGCATTTCGCCAACAAATGCTTGGTTTGTAGCTCAGATCGTTCTGGTGTCTCCTCAGGGTTGTGTGCCCTCTCCATCAGCAACGACAACTGTTACCTGGCGTACCCGGGGAGCGCAACGATAGGAGAGGTTCAAGTGTTCGACACGGTCAATCTGGTAGGTGATGACCAAACTTTTCTGTTCTTGACCTGGCAGGAAGTTGAGCTTCAGCCTCTTCTGCGTAGCTTCACTGTGTTCATTTGTTTCTCCAATAAAACAGACATGCTGAGGAAATCTCATCCTTGTTTTGGCCTCTTAAAGGTTCAGCTGACATTGCTGTGTTTTTGTTTGTTTCTTTAGCGGGCAGCAAATATGATTCCAGCCCATGACAGCCCGTTAGCAGCTCTGGCGTTCGATGCCAGTGGCACCAAACTCGCCACGGCCTCGGAGAAGGTAACATCTGTTAAACATGACCCGTCTTTGTCTGATGAAGTGAAGATTCTCTGGATTTTGCTTCCTTTTTCGAGTGTGGCATCACTGCCTGCGCCGTGTGTCTCTCACCTCTTCCCAGGGCACAGTCATCCGTGTCTTCTCCATCCCAGAGGGACAGAAGCTCTTTGAGTTTCGGCGAGGGGTCAAGAGGTAGACGATCTGAGCGATGTCCCATTGACGGCGTGTTTCTGTGTGAGTGCGGGATTCTTCTAAGCTCTCTTGTTTTTAGGTGCGTGAGCATCTGCTCGTTGGCGTTCAGTATGGAAGGACTGTACCTGTCCGCCTCCAGCAACACAGAAACAGTCCACATTTTCAAACTGGAGACACAGAAAGAGAAGTACGTGTAAGTACCGACCCTTCCGTCTGCGGTGGGCTTTGCTGCGGTGTCCCAGCCAGTTTGGATGTTATCAGTCCATTAAATGGACGTTATTAGTGGTTATCAGTCCCATAGAATGGCTTCAGACTGTCCCGACAGTGCCCCCTAGTGGGTTACCAGTGCCAAATATACTGGAATGCAACAATCTACTTTATCGTAGCCCATGTCATTTTCTCTAAAATTAACCTTAGTGGTTTTATG